CATCGCCCATCGTCCACCTGAGCAGCGATGCCCTAGCCGATATCCGGTGGTGGCAGGAATTCCTTCCCGTCTGGAATGGCAAAGCCCTTATGCGCGACCCAGAGTGGTCTAGGTCACGCTTCTATCAAGGTCGCTGGTTCGCCGGCGCATGGTCCGGAACGCTACAGGCGCCGCCATACACCTCCATCATGTGGAGGGAGATGTGGCCAATCTCCCTCGCCTGCCAGCTGTGGGGACTGCTTTGGACGCAGAAGAAGATCCTGCTCCACTGCGACAACGCTTCCGTGTGCGCTGCCTGGGAGTCGGGCACCTGCCGGCACCCAGGAGTCACGGCGCTCATACGCAGCACCCTCCAGACGGCCGCTCGCCACAACTTCTGTCTGCTTATCCACCACATCGCCGGAGTGGACAACGGTATCGCAGATGCCCTATCCCGCGCTCAGTTCCCACGGTTCCGCCTCTTGGCGCCCAGGGCCGACCTCAGTCCATCGTCACTCGCAAACATCCACGCCGCAGTGGGAGGAGGTCGCCATCCAAGGTCCGCGGTTACCGAGATTGGACACTCTGCTCCTGAGACCACATAACTATGCTTCTGCCCCCATGTTTTCCTGTGTTTCCTTTACTTTTCCCGCTGTGTATTCCTGCTCGCACAGCCTACTGCCACGTCCCACCCGTTGCACCTCTGCACTAGTTGTTAAGCCCTCGCCTGGGTGTTACTGCCTATCAGTTCTGCCTCAACCCTGCGTGCTTATGGATTGTGAAGTCCTTTAGAATCGCATCCCTGTGTGCTTATGGACCGAGTCGGTGTGCCTAGGGACTGAATCAGGTCCCCTAGACTCCTGCAATTTTCTTGGGAGCAGTTCGGTCCCGCCGCTGCCTAGGGAGACCACCGGGCCCCAGCTACAGTAGCCACTCCCTCCGTGCAGGTGGCGCAACGCACATGGCGAATCAAGGTGCCCCGGAGTGTGCCTTGATGGCAGCCGGGCGGTGGTCCAACGGAGCTTACTGCACGTATGTTCGCAGGATTGCAGGCATGCCACGGCACCATGCTGTTACTGAGCCACGGGTCGCAAGACCGCACGCCTTCTTTTCTTGGAGGCACGGGCTCGACCGATGGGCACGAAATCCGCATGGTACACATCCATCGGCTGCCGCAGACAATACAATTAATATACTTGTGGGTACTATTAGAAGCTTCTCCGCGTTGGCATCAATGCAATGTAGATATACACAGCATGTATAGCTTTCGCATAAACCGAAGCGACAACAGCCAAACAGGATATTGATGGCGATATAAAACATATGCGATATAAAACGCGTGACGAAAATAGAATACAATTAAAACAAGCAAACGAGCAGCTCAACCGAGTTGAATTTGAATTTGAATTTGTGGGTACTACCGAGTACTTAGTGGTCATGCAGTTGCCATAGCAATGTACTGGTACACCCAGCCTTTATGATTGTTACATGACCCCATGGGTCGTCTTTCAAACGCTCTTTCATAGCCGATAGATGGCGTTATTTGTTCCTATCATACTATGTTTCAGATGGGCGGCCTTAGACGGCCCAGTCCGATCATTTCACGCGAACTATGTTATATGTCATCGTGAGCACAATAATCATGTCGTGCTCACGTTCAATTATAAGCTTGCGACACCCCACTGGCTCATCTCTTCTGTGGTGTGAGGGTTAAAGGATGTTTACGAGTTATTAGTAACTGCCCATTACTGAAACTAGACAACACAGTACCATCGGGTGCCGAAGAACTGGGGGGGGGGGGGGGGGTCAGCCTCGTAGCCTATGCCGTTATTATCTCTGTGTAGTCTACGCACAGTGGAGTCACCGTGTATACATTGGCATGCTGTGCTTGGTGGAATCCTAACCTGTTCGTTCTTCGGTACCCGGCAGTACTGTAAGCAGTCAGGACGTGCGATAACTCGGCACTAAACTGCTGGACTGGTGCGACCGATTCACCTTGAGTTGTGTGCTTTTAGTTAGAGCTGGGTGTCCGGCCATTGGTTATCTCAGTGGTCTGTCAGGTGTTGTGCCAAGTAAAGTTATCGCACTTCCTGACTGTATGTTATCTAGTGACACTGATAGACAGTTAACTCCTCATAGCTTGTATGCATATGTGCTTTCATATATTTAAATTCATTATTGGCTCAGTATCCAGGTTAAACTTTGTCCTTTCTCACTTCGCGTTTTCTTTTTTCCCTCGCACCCATCCCAAAACAGAGGTCAAAACAGGGTATTTTCAAGGATGCTGTCGGCAGGAGAAGGGCCATTGTCGGCAGGTCGCGACATGCCTCCAGAATCGGCAGGCTACTGGCATGTCGGCGCGCGTGGCAACGCGGGTTAAAGGAGCTGAAAACGAGTTTCATATCAGTATGCACAGTACACCGAGGGGACTCAACAAGGATACCACATGCAGTAGTGTGAAGTTTCATAAAAACATAAAAATAAACATCTACGTAAAACAACATGGTCCATGTAGAATGCCGGTGTACACCCGAGCCAGAACCCAAGCAAGAGCAAGAGTTACCTGGGTGTACACCCGAGCCAGAACCCAAGCAAGAGCAAGAGTTGACTGGGTGTACACCCGAGCCAGAACCCAAGCAAGAGCAAGAGTTGACTGGGTGTACAGCATTGAACCTTGAATAAGGAACATGACAAACGGACAGACAGCACATGCTACAAAGAGACACGACAATATTGAACAGTGAAATCATCAACTGGATGAATCAGCTGACAATCCGTGCAATTATCTAACTAGCAGGATGAGAGCAATACACCCATGATGACAGACATAAAAACAAACACACAAAACAAACGCACGCGCGCGCGTGCGCACACACACGCACACACACTCACACACACTCATACTGTCCACGCATACGAGAGCAGGGTTGTACCTGCGTACAAAACGCCTTGCTGTCCTTGTTCACCAATTATGGTACCCCGTTTCGGACGTGTTGCAGACGCATATAGCACACCTTTCTTTTCCCTGGACCCCGTTTCGGACGTGCGTTGTAGTTGCAGAGGCGGTCACAATGCCCTGTTCCCTTACTCTGCGATGTAACATTCGTCACTTTCCTGTACTTCTGTGTTCTCGCCAGGGTATATTCCTGTGCCTGGCTCGGTGCCATGGTCTTTTAGCCGAGGTCTTGTTGACGACGTTTGCCTAAATACTCCTCTCCAATAATATTGGTTGCTCTGTGTGAGGGTGTGTGGAATACATTTTGTCCAGGGACGTACACCAAGCACTCTTGGTCTGACGACAGCAGCACTGATGTTTTCAGGATCTCACCGTGAATAGGGAGAAGGGAGCAGCTTGAAATCCATTATCGCACAAGTATGACTCCCAGCTCTTGAATGGCATGTCTATAATTCATTGGAAGCACATCCACAAACACGTACATGGATATGGACATACACGTACGCACATGTTGTGTGCGTACACGCACACACGCAAGCACGCACACACGCAAGCACGCGCACACACACACACGCGCACACACACACACGCACACACACGCACGCACACACACACACACACACGCACACACACACAGTTGAAACATTGTCACCGTTGCATGGACGCGTGCACAACGAGCAATTGCACCCGGCAAATAGGACATCAACCAGATATTCTGTCGGAACAGCCGTGCATTCGGTGATAGCGCCCTCTTGAAAAGACATTCCGCATTTCCCGGAGTATAAGCCGCACCCAGGTTTTTCGTCACCAAATACAGATATCTACCCTAGCTATCACCGTTCATTCGACCATCCTAGTATAAACCAAACTGACTTTTATTTTGGGGGGGGGGATACGAGTGTTTAAAGTGGCGGCTTATACTCCAGAAACTACGGTAGTGGACACCGAGTGACAGTGCGGGGCGGTACGTACTGTGCGGTGGCGTGACAGCTTTGCCGTTCTGCTCGCACCAGCCGATGGGATGGATGTCGTCGTTGTCGGAGCTGCACCAGTAGTTGTAGCCGTCGCTCCAGCCGTCGAAGTGCACCTCCACGCGCTTCTTGGCCTCGTCCACGCTGGCAATGCTGGCCACGCACACCAAGCTGGCGTTCTGGCGGTCCACCGCCTCCAGGCGCATCCCGACTTTGAACAAGCAGGCCGTGGGTGCAGCTGGCTTCTCAACCTTGATCATACCGGAACATTGCGCCTCCTGTAGGTTAGATATGTCCAGGTACACATACACATACACGTACACATACACGTACACATACACGTACACATACACGTACACATACACATACAGGTACACATACACGTACACATACACACACAGGTACACATACACGTACACGTACACATACACGTACACGTACACATACACATACACATACACGCACACATACACATACACGTATGATTTTTTTAGAGAAAAGCCTCTTGCACGGGCAAAACTCAAAAACAATGTTGCACAATCATGTACACATGGATTTCAAAACTAAAAATATGTTTTATAAAAGAGCAAACAGTGATGGTTGTACTGTAAAGAAAAATTTCCTGAAAAGACTAGTTTTAAAAATCATTCATTGAGTGATACGTATGGATTAATCACCACAGTACATGTACAGCTGCATCAGAGGATCCGATTGAGAAATAATTTACAGATCGAGCTTGCCACAGAGGCATAGAGTCGAGAACTGATCGCTCCGACTCGAAAACAGAGAAGTTCGGCTCGACTCTGACCTGAAAATGGGTTGCGAACTTGCGACTTATAATCAAATGTGACGTATCCAGCCAGGGAAACGCAGTACAGTCAGACCTCGCTTAGCCGCACACATCCCACGCAAATATCCGGATAGGCGAGGGAACCGGATAACTCAACACCGCTTATGTTGGACACATCGTATGCCGTAAATATGTAACCAGCCACTTTCTTCCGAATGGTGAGGGATCCGGATAAAAGAGGACGGGATAAGCGAGGTCCGACTGTACAGTCATGTGCATGCACTCACCGTGAACACGTGTTTCGGTACGGCTCTATAACCATGCTTCGATAGATAGCTTGACCAGTTGGTAAATGGTATGCCTGCAGAATAAGACCAAGTTCATAGCATGGTGCAAGACTTTATTTATTTATTCATTTTTAATTTGCCTTTTTGCCCTCAGTCCGTGGTTGGTTTCACCCTCACTTCCTTGTATTGGCTATTTTCATTATGAGCCATGAAGTGCAGACAGTAGATAAATAAATAAATAAGACACGGTTCAAACCACATCCTCTTCCGCACACTCTTGCTCTCGCCTGGATCATGCAACCAATTAGTTGCTTGGCCAAGCAGTCGTGTTGCTACGGTGGGAAATTTGACCAGCCAATGTGTTACAATGACTTCAGGACCAATATGCCTACAACAGGTTGAGCACATCAACAGCTACTTCACATGCGTACACACACATACGCAAGGTACTCATCTCTGGATCTAACTGCATTTACCCCCGCCGCCCCCCCCCCCCCCCCCCCCATGAAGGTAATATTTGATACTGCGGGGGGGGGGGGGGGGGGGGGGGTTGCTCAATCTGGGTGGGTCTGATGGGACCATTAATTATACTAATCACACACATACACGTATACACACATGCATGCACACATGCACACACGTGCAGACACGCACGCGCACATACACACACATAAAAGTGAGTCAACGTACCATGCGGTGGGTTCAACTCTATTCCATTGGCGCCGCACCAGCCCATCGGGTGGATGTTGGTGTCGCTAATCTTGCACCAGTAGTTGAAATTGGTAGACCAGCCGTCAAAGTAAATCTCGACTGTGTTGGCCCTGACGTCGACGGCGCTAATAGACGCCACACATGTCATACTCGGATTCTGTATGTCCACAGCCTCCAAACGCATGCCAACGCTCACGTTATTGATAGCAGAGGACAAAGGTGCAGTGGCCTCATTGCTCGTGATCATGCCACTTTTTTGCAGATTCTAATATAGCACAGCACGCACACATGTGCACAAACACACACACGCATGTGCACAAACACACACACACACACACACATGCACACGCACGCACACGCGCACACACACACACACACACACACACACACACACACACACACACACACACACACACACACACACACATACACACACACACACACACACACGCACGCACGCACGCACACACACATGCACACACACACACACATGTACACACACACACACACACACACACACACGCACACACATGCACACACATGCACACACACAAACACATGCGTGCACACACACACACGCGCAAACACATGCGCATACACACATGCGCACACACACACACACATGCGCACACACACATGCGCACACACACATGCGTGCGCGCACACACACACACACACACACGCACGCACGCACACATCTCGGATCATGCCACGCACCCCGGACACCCTAACCCGTGGACACAGACTTGAATGGCACCCACCAGCACTGCACTCAGAGGTCTGGTACTTTCGTCTCTACCCATCACTACTCATACTCATACTCTTGCCCGTCGCTGAAGTGATGATAGCGAACAAGTTATGTTAGACATAGCAACTTCTGCTGGGATTACACCATTCAACAGCCTGCATAGCTGATGAATGGGAGGTATTCATCGAAAATGGCCGTCACCTTTTTGCAGGGCAAGTTACCCCATACTTAAGGTACAACCCGTTATAGTACTAGTACATTTATGAGTATGACCTCACAAAGTTCATGACCTTTTATGCAGAGTTGGTATCAAGGTGTGTACAGTTGTAGCAAGAGTATATAACCCCCCAAGAGTGTGCAACTCCTGATACCCTTTCTATGGGGTACGCCAACAGCGAAAACTCACATCACGTGGTGCAGTGTCTCAGTTGTACGTTTCCAGGCCGTTTTTAGCGAGCAGCGGAGAAATAAAAAAGCACTCTCTGACAGAAACTCACTGCGCGTATGCTAATCCCCAGCATGATCATGGCAGATATTCGGATTGCGCGCACGCTATCCTTCGTTTGTACGTAGTACGAACATATCTGAGACACGTGATGTGAGTTTTCGCCGTCGGAGACCCCATATGCAGAGTTGCACACTCTTGGGGGGTTATATACTCTTGGTTGTAGTGGACTTGCCCCGCAAAGCGTAATGGCGGGAAATTGATGCATATGTCCCATTGAGCTTAAGTCAACGCGCAGGAACCAAGCTTACCGTAAAGGCACCGATGGGTACACGCTTGTAATTGTTCCGCGCCAGGTACGATTCCCAGCCGCCAAACGCCAGTCCTACAAACACACCAACGCACACAACGATACGCACGTGCACACAGAGACGGTGAGAGTTTTTCACAGCAGCCTGCCTCGGTTGGGCCTGAGCGGTCAGCGATAGGCGCTTGCTTACATGAGAATGAATACAAGGATCATGCTTGTAGGAGGGAACAGTATTCATGGGTGGACCGTGCGCGATCACACAAACCATGCAATGGGACAACTATAGTGCAGTTGAAGAAATCCGGTTGCGTGAGTTAAGTTCGCATCCTACTTGTCACGACGTTGACATGATGTTCAACGTCATGAGATTATTTGCAGTACACGTCATAGTTTGTGTTCTCTACCCCGGTTTGTTTCCGCGTTCCCACACCGAAGCGGGGCCGCGTGTTTATTATTTCTACTGACTCACTCGCCTCTTGGCGACTTCCTCCATGTTTTTTCCTCCTTTTTTGCTCTGCGCAAGCGCCTTGCGCTTTAGTCGTCGTCTTCTTTCAGTTCACAGCAAGAACAATAATTTTACCTCTTGTGCAGTGTCAGTCAAATTCAGTCAAATCAAGCTCTCCCGATCCCAAGAAACTGTCTGGCGTGTGCACAAAGTGGTGCCGAAACCCGGGACGTGAACCGCACCGGAGCTCGAAACGAGCCGTGCGTAGATCTACCATTCCAATCTTGAGAAAGATAGACTCGACTCAAATAATTTGTAAGCAGCTTGCCCGATTTGGGTCGTCGAGCTAACATGCCGAAGAGAGCAGTGACGACCGGCACGCAGATCATGCGCCGGGCCAAGATCGCGCAGCTGCAAGGATCCATCGACGAACTCGTCAAAGAGGCCGAACTCCTTTTATCGAAGGAAGGAGGTCAAAGGGCCGACGAGTTGTCGCCAGAACACGTGGACTCGGATCCAAAAAAGCTAAGTACACTTGTGGATTGTATTGTTGAAGAATTGTACGCATATGATGAGGCGTGTGATGCATTGGCCAGTGTTTTGGACTCGGAGACTCTGGAGGGTTCAGATGAGGCTCTGCAAACGGAGATCTGCGATGTGGTTGCGTATTCGGTACGCATCAGAGGGTCAATTGTTGAATGCAAGCGATCTCCGCAGTACAGAGCCCAGACGAACCGTCCAGAAGCTGCTACTACTAGTACTAGCTCACCAAGTAGCACCAAGAGTACGGGCAGTGCGGGTATCAAACAAGAAACTAGTATGGTTGATTTGTCCAGCATCCAACAGTCAATAGGAGATCTTGTTCGTACGCAGTCTATTACACATAGTCAACACCAGCAAGTATTACAGTCGCAAGAGGATCTAATCAAACAACACCAACTAGTCGTACAACACATGCAAGCATCATCACCTCAACCACAACCAGCTCCCACAAGTTCAGTCAATTTGCCCAAATTTGAAATACCAACATTTTCTGGTGATTTCCTGAAATGGGCTGAGTTTCACGATATGTTTGTTGCGTCTATTGATGCGAATCAAGGGTTGTCGGGTGTCCAGAAACTGTCGTACCTAAGAGATCACGTAACGGGTTTGGCTCGGGATGCCATAGCTGGCTTGCCCATATCAGATACCAACTACACAACCGCGCTTGACATTCTCCGCAAACGTTTCGGGAATGATCAGCTTCGCGTCAATGCACACTACACGGCAATCATGGACTTACCGCCTGCGTCCAACGCTACTCCATCTTTGCGTAGGTTGCACGATGCGTTGGAGGTGCACTTGCGAAGCCTCACAGCGCTTGGTGAGAATGTTAATCAGGCGGTGTTTGTGTCAATGATTACGAACAAATTGCCACGCACCACGCTAGCGGCTTTGGAATTAAAAAAGGGGCCACAATCCTGGACCGTTTCGGACTTGCGCGCTGCAGTAGCCAACTTCATAATAGCGAATGAAGCAGCAGATCGCCTCAGCCAGCCACCGAAAAAATCGCACGAATCACCATCTGCCAGTGCGTCCGGTCAATCTCTTGTTGCCTCAGCTTCAGCTACTTCAAAAGCGAAGCCCAAGAGAGTGTGTGTTTTTTGCAGGTCGGAGGCACATTTCTCTGACGAATGCAATAAGTACACTACAGTAGAAGCGAGGAAGAGCGTAGCTAAACAAAGGTGTTTCAAGTGTTTGCGATCAGGCCACTCCGTGCACGATTGCTCTAGCAAACGGCGGTGTTTCTATTGCCACAATCCTGCACACCACAGCAGCTTGTGTCCAGATAAATTCACTGCCGCATCCACTCAGAGGCAAGCTTCCACTATGAGCCCGAATGCTCAGTCCTTCAAACCCAAGCCTGCCACGAGCACGGTCGCAAACGCCGATCACCAGATCATGATGCAAACTGCTGTGGCACCGTTTCTCTCCTCCAAGCTGAAGCCGATCAATGGCCGTATTCTCTTTGATACCGGCTCCACCAAGACATACATCACGCAAGCTTATCGAGATCAGCTCGATTTGCCCACAATCGGAAATGAAACACTCTCCTTGGCTACATTTGGGAACAACAAAAGAAAAAGTACCGTGTACGCCAAGGTGAGTTTGACCATGCAGTGTAAGGATGGGTCCACTCGTGCGATTCAGGCCAGTGTACTTCCGAACATAACCGCTCCAATTGCGCGATGTCCACTTGCTTCTTCTTTTCCTCTTCTACAGTCTCTGCCACTTGCAGAACCGCTCTCCAGCAGCGCAGAGCCCATGGTCGTAGACGTCTTGATTGGTCTCGATCACTATTATGATATTATCGGCAAGGACCGCACCGAACTAAGCGGTGGTCTGGTCTTGCTCGACTCCGTTCTTGGTTTTATCTGTACCGGCAGTCTGCCTGTGCCTGCCACCACAGAGGCGCAGTCATGTCTTGCTCATCAAACAGACACGGACCCTGAATTCGACCTCCGTAAGTTCTGGTCGACAGAGAGCTTGGGTACTTTTGACGATACGTCGTCGCAAGATCTTGTGGGCGAGCGCTTCGCCAACTCCATCTCCTTTGCCGAGGGTCGGTACGCGGTGAGTTGGCCCTGGAGGGACTCACATCCTCCTCTTCCGACAAACTACGGTCTGGCTTTCGGTCGCCTGAAGGCACAAGTGCGTCGCCTCGAAGCCCATCCGGAACTTCTTGACCAGTACGATACCGTGATTCAAGACCAGCTTGACAGGGGCATGATAGAAGATGTTCCTCGTGGTTTTACAACCAACCAGATTCACTACCTTCCACACCATTCAGTACTCAAACCTACTGCTACTACCACGAAGCTGAGGGTAGTGTATGATGCGTCCGCAAAATGTTCCGAAAAACTCGCCAGTCTCAACGACTGCTTGCACGCTGGCCCCAATCTTGTTCCAGACCTTTGCGGTATTCTTCTTCGTTTTCGTCTTTCTCCGGTAGCCATAAGTGGAGACGTAGAAAAGGCCTTTCTGCAGATTGGTCTGCACTCACATGATCGTGACGTGACCCGCTTCCTATGGCTGCACGATGCATCCAGCTCAGCTACTCCAGACAACATACGACAACTTCGTTTCTGTCGTGTTCCGTTTGGCGTTGTCAGCAGTCCATATCTCTTGGCTGCCACTATTCAGCATCATCTTAGCGCTGCTGATACAACAGATTCCGACCTAGTGTCTCGCAATATTTACGTTGACAACCTGTTCCTTGGTGCCAACTCTGGGACGGAGGCGATTGCTATCTATGATGCCACGAAGCGCCTCTTCAGTGTTGCGTCTATGAATGTTCGCGAGTGGTCTAGTAATTCTGCAGAGTTTCTTAGCAGCATTCCAGAACCAGACCGAGCCAAGGGTACTATCCACAAGTGCCTCGGTATGCTGTGGGATACAGAACATGATACTCTACATATTGCACCTGTCAGTGCCGTATCCAAGTCGGCCACAACGAAGCGGAGTATCCTTCGACATACTGCCCAATTCTTTGACCCCCTTGGTCTCCAGTCTCCTGTTCTTGTTGGTGCGAAGATTCTGCTTCAGGATCTTTGGAAGCTGAACGTCGGCTGGGACGACGACCTTCCACAAGACATCATTTGTAGATGGTGTGATATTGCGGCTCAACTTGAACTTGCTGCATCAACGAAATGTCCACGATTCATCAGTGCACCACGTGCCAGCGACGCTCGGTTTTCTCTCCACGTCTTCAGCGACGCATCTGGGCTGGCTTACGGTGCCGTTGCTTACCTTACTACTACGTTTGACGATCAACACACGTCGAACCTTCTAATCAGCAAGTCCCGTGTTGCACCTGTTGCTTCACCTACCATTCCACGTCTGGAATTAATGGCCGCGCTTCTCGGTGTTCGTCTGATCCAATTCGTCCGTCGGGAACTTCCGCTCACTTTCTCCTCTACCTTTCTATGGTCAGACTCCACCACAGTTCTCCATTGGCTGGCCTCTTCTGACAAACTACCTGTCTTCGTCAACAACCGTATTGATGCCATTCGTGCGGTTCCCGATGTTGCCTATCGCTATGTCCGCTCTGCCGACAATCCCGCCGACTTGCCTTCACGCGGTGTCTCTGTTCCTTCCCTTCAAGCCAGCTCGCTATGGTGGCACGGTCCACACTTCCTTGCCACTGCTGACCATCACGCCGAGCCAGCACTTGATCACCATGTCAACGTTGCCGCTGGGGAGGGTCCTTCAAGCACTTCGGAGATACCTGCACCTGTATCACACCCAACAGAGTCCACCGGTCCAGACACTGAGCTTGCACACGAAATGAAAAAAAAGCCTGATGCGCATCACGAACAAAAAAAAACATGTGATGAACCACCATTTGGTATTGATTGTGCCAGGTTTTCGTCTTTCAGTGCCTTAGTGCGTGTTTCTGCTCTGTGTTTGCGGTTTCTCTCCAGGTTGAGACCACAAGGCGGCAAGTCCTTCGGGGTGGATTCTAGTTGTAACTCAGAGGTCAAGGTAGCCAAAATCATGTGGCTACACCATGCACAACAGAATCTGTCAGACGTCAGTGCTGTCGAAAATTGTAAGAAGCACAGCCCGAAGGACAAGCTGCGGCTCTTCCTCGATGAGAACCGCCTCATCAGATGCAGAGGACGCTTGGAGAACGCCGAACTTTGCTATCAAGCAAAGTATCCAGTACTGATTCCCCAAACGCATCCCATCACCCAGCTCATCATCAACGATTGTCACCTGATGACGATGCATGGCGGCGTTGCACACACGCTATCAAGACTGCGTTACGAGTACTGGTTACCACGAGGGCGTGCAACAGTGAAGTCATTCATCACTAAGTGCCTGACTTGCCGGAAGCACCACGGTGGTCCATACCGCACCCCAGATATGGCCCCGCTTCCATCTGCCCGCGCAACAAGATCTATCCCGTTCACCCATGTGGGACTAGATTACTTCGGTCCTCTGCTCGTCAAGCACCAGCCAAGTACCAAGAAGGTATGGGTCCTCCTAGTGACATGTATGGCAACTAGAGCTGTCCATCTAGAACTGGTGGCAGACATGACCACAGAGGAATTCCTGCTAGCGTTCCGCAGGTTCGTGTCGTTGCGTGGTTGCCCTGAAGAGGTAGTGTCTGACAACGCGCCACAATTCATCCTAGCTAAGTCTGTTCTGGATGTGGCCTTTGAAGAAATGGCAACGAGTGATGATGTCCTGTCGTACATGTCGAGGACTGGTGTGAAGTGGCACTATAACCCACCGATCTCACCTTGGATGGGTGGTTTCTACGAGCGTCTCGTTGGAACAGTCAAACGAAGCCTGAAGAAGGTCGTTGGCCGCGCGCTCCTCACTGTGTCGCAACTGACTACCATTCTCATGGAAGTGTCAGCAGTCGTCAACTCGCGTCCACTGGTGTACGTGGACAATGACTTGCAGGAGATACTCACCCCAAGTCATTTTCTGTGCCTGTCCGCAACTACTGGTGGCGTGCAACCCACTGCTGATGACGGCGATCCGGACCACATCGAAGTTCCGACTGCAGCTCAGAATCTTCTCTCTGTCTGGAAGAAGGGTCAACGAACATTGGACCAGTTCTGGCGTGTCTGGCGAGACGACTACTTGGCTGATCTCCGCAACAGTCACACTCGGAAGCTCCGACAGGCACGCGTTACCGCTTCAGAACAGCCAGCCGTTGACGATGTTGTACTAATAAGGGATGACATGCCCCGTGGCTCATGGCGACTTGGTCGCATTGTCGCTCTCCATACAAGCAAGGACATGGAGATACGTTCCGCAACCGTCATCACTGCAGAGAAGACAGAGCTCAAACGACCCCTGTCTCTCCTGTACCCTATCTGTCCTGCTGCTAACTCCGAGGCTAACAACAACAGCACCGCTCCGGACACACACACCACTGGCCAAGCCGATCTGCCAGTTCCAGCAGCTGTTGCTCCACCCAGTCGTCCACAACGTGCTGCCGCTAAGAAGCAACGTCAGACGCTTCGCCAATTAATTGGCAGCGAACTTGTTTAGTTGAATCAGCTAGACAGTTGGTAGTTCACATCTGAACTCTCTCTTTCTCTCTCTCTCTCTCTCTCTCTCTCTCTCTCTCTCTCTCTCTCTCTCTCTCTCTGTGTGTGACGGTCTACTCTCTTTCACCCTTGCGTAATATATGCACTTATTGTGTTTTGTTTCCACGTTACTTTGTTACGAATTATCTCCTTTTCTCTGCATCTCTTGCGGGGGAGTGTCACGACGTTGACATGATGTTCAACGTCATGAGATTATTTGCAGTACACGTCATAGTTTGTGTTCTCTACCCCGGTTTGTTTCCGCGTTCCCACACCGAAGCGGGGCCGCGTGTTTATTATTTCTACTGACTCACTCGCCTCTTGGCGACTTCCTCCATGTTTTTTCTTCCTTTTTTTGCTCTGCGCAAGCGCCTTGCGCTTGAGTCGTCGTCTTCTTTCAGTTCACAGCAAGAACAATAATTTTACCTCTTGTGCAGTGTCAGTCAAATTCAGTCAAATCAAGCTCTCCCGATCCCAAGAAACTGTCTGGCGTGTGCACACTACTCCAGTACACATCCTAGTGTTTGCAGGTCTGGTGCTGCAGTGCGCTCGACGTGGAGCTCACTCGCTTCATTGGATTTCAGTGAGCAACACAGCAGTTCACCACACTGCACACACTGCCATGAACACCGATAGATACACGCTGATTTTGTAAGGTCTATAGAAGGGGAGAAAGGCTCTTCAGACACGATCACTATGTATTACCATTCGGAGGCCGGAGAGTCTTAGATACACGCTGATTTCGTAAGGTCCATGTAAGGGGAGAAAGGCTCTTAAAAGACACGATCACAGCGTATTATTACCATGCGGAGGCTGCAGAGCCGTGTGATTCGCCGCACACCAGCCCACCGGGTGTATATCCTTGTCGGTTAAATCACACCAGTAGTTGTATGAATCCGACCAGCCGTCAAAATAGATCTCCACGCGGTTACCAGCATCGTTCACTTCCTTGATGGATGCCACACAAGTCAGACTGGGATTCTTTCTGTCCACGGCCTCCAGACGCATACCGGCGCAGACCTGATAGATGGATGGCACACCAGCGGCACTTTTGGTAGGAGTGCTAGGGGAAGTGGTGGCGGAGGAGGTGGTGGTGGCTGCTGTACCCGGCATGCCTTGCTTCTGGCAGCTCTGGAGTACGCACAAACACACACATGTGGATGCATGCACACACATACACTCAGACCTCAGACCTCAGACCTGCCCATCGCGGAAGCGATGATAGCGAACAGCTATGTTAGACATAGCAACTTGTGCTGGGACTACACCAGTCAACAGCTTGCAATGCTGATGAATTGATCGCCACTAATTTTAGCCTGGTATCCACCACACATACACGCATATACAAACGCACACGCACACACGCACACACACACACGCCAACACGGCGGTGACATTTTTAAAAGTTACGCGTCGCGTCATGCGGAACACTGGAGGGACAGGCGCCGCACGACGCACAACAAACCGTGCACTGCGAACGTGTACGAGTCTCGCACACTGCATGTGCTTCTGCAGTACCGGTATGATAGCGTCTCCACTTCCACACTCACAAGTTCACAACACTGAACACTTCTACCTATACATTAGTCAGACTCACGGCGAATAGGCTGGCCGGTGCTGCGGTCATACCAACTACCTTCAAATAATCAGCCACGCTTGACGTATCTGCAAACAAAGGATGTAGCACAAGAGAGCAAAGGACAAAGTTAGACTTCTGAGTTGCTATGCTCTACCATAGTCAACGGTTCTGGTGTCGGCGTTTCGAATATTGGCTGGAACAGAATGAGCGGAATTCTGTGCCTAAATGAGCGGTTAGTTTGTAAGCCCTTGCGCTTGCAAGGAAAAGCCCACCCCACGAGGGCCGCAGGTCAGTCACATACCGCTATTGGGCCTGGTGTGACAAAAGGAAATCGCCGTCAGAAGATTTAATACCGGCAGCTTGTCGGAATGGCCAGAGTGATATTCGCACAATTCTCTCCTTCTCACGCATGTGCCGTGGATCGTACCCGGTTGATTGCGGAAAGGCCGAAATCAGCTGGATTGCGTGTGCAACAAGCAATCCAGCTGATTAGCAGAGTAGAGTGTACCCGCATGGCATTAACCATACTGATAGTCTTGTGGCTCTACCAGAACTGCCATGAAGCCCAAACTGGCAAGACCTGAAAAAGAAACAAAGCAACGCTTGCCATGACCCGCACTCTACGTGTACAGGTACAATGTAGATCAACAAGATTTCAGCATTGCTCAATTTCATGTGCAATTCTAACCGAGAGTACGACGGGGTAACATTTCCTCGGCTCAAATTCCTGGCGCGCGTGCATCCACTGCACACAATTTCAAAAGTGCTACAAATTTGTGTCGCAATGAAGACGTAGTTGCTAATTGCCGACGTAGAGCATGGAGTCGAGTTGACCCAGAGCATTGGAATACAGAAGGTGAACATGCACAGTTTGAGCAATGGACTGTCGGATAGGGGATGTCCATGACATGGGCATACTGTTCATTGCAATGAACTGTCGGTTCGAGGGACGTGCATTACACGGGAATACTGTTCGTTGCGCACCACTTACAACTGCCAGGAAGAATGAGGATGCGACCCGTTGCTTGACACCAGCCGATAGGGTGTACACCAGTGTTGGTGCGAAGGTCCACGTCGAAATCCCAGCGATTCGCCCAGCCGACGTAGGTGACTCGGATACTCTGGCTCTCGGGACGAACATCCACCACCGAGCCAAGGTAAGTAAAAGTCGGGCTGGCGGGGTCAGTGATTTCCAGTGCATGGCCGCACACAAAACGATCCCATTGACCCATCGAAGCAGGCTTGCGCTCCTGAAAGTCGTCATAGAAAGCACGCATGGTCAGAAAAAAATTTTAGAAACTGCCCAGGCATTGCACTCTGGTGATACGATAAGCCAGACTAGCAGTGCAACAGAAGCAAGAACACCAGAGTAATTGTGAAAGGGGCTTTTGTCACAAATCCAGCAGTAACATATTGCTACACTTCACGGAATTATTTAAAAAAATAACGGTTCACGTTTTACTCAGCAATATGGCGGTAAATACACGCCTGCCCACACAAGCTCTCGAGGCTGCAAAGTTATTCTGGGACCATGGGTTCACGCCTGGCGCCTAGTCGGTGCATGGTGAGCGGTGTTTGAGGGTACATGTGTACCGGCATAGTATTATTTATTTATTTTTACAACACAAACACGTAAGACGTCCAGCAGTACATGTGCATGGCCTGGCCAGGCTTACGTCGAATAGATCCTTGGTGGCCGCTGCCAGGCTATGCTCGGTCAGGTATGCCTGCCAGTCACCAGTGGCACCTGCAAACAAGAACAAACATCAAAAGCTCGCAAGCTACGTCGTATGCTCGTGCAAAAAATAATAATCACATCGCAATTTACACTCAGCCATTTCTTCTACTCAAAGCTCAGCAGCTTGTAGCAGCCTCCAAGCCAGTTTGATGTTGACGGTCACGACGGAATTTCTCGTGGAGCTCAAGCTGCCAGTGATTCGGCTTTTTCATTTTTTTTACTTTTAACTTAACTGCCGGCCGCGTACATGCTTTTCAGCATCGGATTGGACATTTTTTACCAACATACATATGCTGACAAGGCCGGTCGAGGCAGCTCGAAGCAGAGTGCTAAAAATGTGCAAATGTGCAGACCAGTGAATGCCAAATGCCGCTGTCTGATGATCGCTGAAACGTGTGAAACTTGCAGTTAGAGCTACACAGCCTTTCGCCTCCGTTGTACGTGTATGCCGACTGCATGTGCGGGTCCCACGAATACTGAAACGCTAGTCATAGGAGTCCAATGGTGTGAACCCAGATGGTTCCTTTTGACTTCCTTACCTCCTGGCATGATCAGTGATCGCCCTTGGCTGGCGCACCATCCCATGTGGTGCATTGCCGTGGCATGAACGCCGATCCAGAAGTCCCAGCTCACGTTCCAGCCTTCGTAGTGAAGCAGCACACGCTGGCCAACTTGATCGACGTCTATGATGGTGCAGATGTACGTGAGGCTCAGCTGAGCAGGATCGTCCAGTTCAACCGCCATGCCCGGTCGCAGACCCTGCACGCTGACACCGACGTTGCGAAGATTCGGACGCCGGGAAATGCTCGCCGGGCTGGGCCGCCGCCTCTGGTCGTCCTGGTACAGAAAACCACATCAACGCCCCGAGATCAAAGAGTACTGACTGAATGTACACATATGAAAGAGAGAGAGAGAAACCAAGTGGAAAAAGTTTCCCGCCGAAGCAGTCATACCACTTGGACCCCTCTCTCTCTCTCTCTCTCTCTCTCTCTCTCTCTCTCTCTGTGAACTAGGTGAAAATAATAATAAAAAATAGTTACAGTTCGCATGTCACTCATGGAAGGATCCATGGGCTTAACACAGCTGTCAATGAAATCCAGGCAGAAGAGCCAACAAAAGGCATCTCAATATTGTTAGAACATGTGAAAATTTCTGCACTTTATTTAACTTTATTTAAAAGCATGTTGTTTGAACTCCCATACATTGAAAAGATGATCTTGTGCCAGCGTCAGACCATTCGCCAGCGTGTAGCTCTCCCAGTCACTGAACGCTGCACCAGGTAAAACATACACACGCATGCACACACACACACAAACGCGCGCGCGCGCGCACACACACGCACGCACGCACACACACACGCACACGCACACACACACACACACACACACACACACACACACACACACACACACGGCAGACAAGCACTCCAGAGAACAGCAGCAACAACACATGGTTCACTAATGATAGCTTGCATGCCGTCCTACCGGTAGGACCACGGGTCCTACCGGTAGGACCCAAGAAATCGCGCTGCAAAAGTGCTTTTGGTTGAGAAATTTCTTGAAACAATTGTTGAGATGAGGTCTTTGTCACGCAAAGTAATGGCGCAAAATGCAAGACTATGTCCAGTGCATTGCATACGCACAATTTTATCAATTGTCAAAATGGCCGCACATACTCCTGTCGGAACGCTAGCAACTCTGTCCAAAGTGAATTTTGACCATGACACATCAATCGTGGTGAGGTTCTAATGTTTTTATTCGTCAGCCAAGGCAGTGGAATGCATAATTCCATACACCGTTTCCATGGTTACCATTTGCTGTTACCATGGAATTTCGTACTATGCCTTGTGCGATCACGTCTAAAATTTGTGGATTCCTTCATTAGCCCCTGAGCAACAGTTTAGGGTCAAGTTTTAGGTCAATGTTAGAACAGAGGCCATGCAGCATGTCTGTGTATGATGGTCCTACCGGTAGGTCCTACCGGTGGGACCGAGGTCTATGCAAGCTATCACTAATCACTAGTGACAAGCGTCACAGCAGGCAAGGATACGGAACAATGCTGCTACAGCAGTTCGTGCAATGGCAAACGCTGAAACGTGTGCCAGTGGGGTACGACAATTCAACAGAAACCAGCCGGGTGCGCACAGTCATGACTCTGGATATGGAAGAGCACGTGTGCAGGACGACCATATTCCGGGGGTCCCTTGTTTGGTCAAATTCAGCAGTACGTGCAAAGTTAAATATTGTGCTAACAAACCATAAGCTAAAATTCCAGTACTGGAATTTCACAAATTTTCGGTGTACTTTTACTTTCGGTACTTTCGGTGTATCTGCTTCATACCTAAAATTTCAATACACCAAACAAACACCAACACACATAATCCAATAGGGAACTGCTTCTCTGTACCGAAAATTTCTGTTCACCTAACCTGGCCTGTTGGCCTCATACCGAAAATACTGAGCACCTAAAATTTCTGAAATTCCAATACCTAAGCTTGGCAGTTTCTGGAGTGTACGTCCAACCTGTTGGCACCAGTGCGGAGGATGTAGAATGCCAGAACTGCTCTCAACCCAGAAATCGTAATGTGACTCCCAGCCCTCGTAGTGAACACACAGCTTGTTCTGCCCCTCGTTGACTTGCTGAATGCGACACGGGTAGGTGAGCGTGGGAGCGTCCGGGTCGTCCACCTCCAGCGCCATGTTTGGCCGGAACGTCTTGGCCATGGAGGAGGATTGAGCTGCGCCGGCCGGGCTGTTCGGCACGGTGGGTATGCAGTCTCCGCGTCCCGGCGATGCCAAGACGTCTGAACGAGCTGGGGTGGGCGGCTGGGTGAATGCAACGGTACGCTGCGCCTGTACGGAGAGAGAGAGAGAGAGAGAGAGAGAGAGAGAGAGAGAGAGAGAGAGAGAGAGAGAGAGAGAGAGAGAGAGAGAGAGAGAGAGAGAGAGAGAG